TCATAGAGTACGAGGAGGCCTGACCGCAGCTCTTATGAGCCTACTCAACCTATGTTTCCTCATTTTGCTGGACCATCCAAAGTTTACTATTAGGTGAACATACAATTATAGAATTATAGGCTCAGGCCCAGTACCATCTGTCCTACAAACTCCAATTCGATGCCATCCTCCCATTCTCTCTACACCTCATGGACGGCCTAAGGTTGTTCCAAAGCGTGCTGGTGAACTTTGCCAAAAGTGTCAACTTATGTCCGGTCAGCTTTCCAACATTCCTGACCGTCCACCTCAGCTTTGCTCCAATTGTGGTGGCGGAAATAATTACTCATGCACTTGCCAGCAACCTCCTAAGGTTTAAAGACTCTCCTTTCTCTCTTTCTTTTCTTTCAACTTCTCTTTTTTTTTTTTTTCCTTATTGTCCCTTTCCTATCTATTCACACTTGTGTTTGCAAAGTTCTTTTAGTCCTCCTTGTACCTTGGTTTTCATCCTCCATCTTTTTTCTCCTTCACCAGTTTCCTACTATTCAATACCTACTTCATGTTAACTACATATTCAACATGATGTTTATTTGTTCTGTCATTGCTATGCTGTATGTAAATCATCCACAGTGTGGTATTCTAGTTGTGTGGGGCATTTAGACCCTTGTCCGCTCCCGAGGGGGTATTCTGAGAGTTTTCCGTAAATTTTACGGGAGCCACATAGGCAGAGGAGCAAAGCACAAGGATATCTTCATCTGCATGCAGTTTAGTATTCGAAGAATTATTTCCTTACTTCCCGCACTTGCTTCCGTGGCCTTTCCGCCAGCCAACCCTATTCACTTCCTCGGGTCCACTTATCTTAAAAATAAAAATAAAACTGGAATACAGGTAATTGGCACTCCAGCAAGACCTTGGAGTTGCCCCTCCTTAGTAAGGCAGAGCATAAATTTATTTTTATTCGTCTCAGAGGAGGGGCACTGAAAAAAACAGTTTTCTTCCCAACAGTTTTCTCCCCCACCAATCCAAAGGAGGAAATTCTGGACAACTAGCGCGAAATCCAACTATTCTAGTTTTTACTCGAGTATTGCAAGGTTTCCGGTCGGATTTAATAAAAAGTCCTTCCAGAAAACTCCAAGAACTTTTAATATAGTGACTTAGCTAGACTACGGTGCTAAAAAAAACCCATGATATATACCGGTACTGGCGCAAGTGACCATTCACACAAGGCATGTTGGCGGAATAGCCTCATAATTATGATGCTACGAATATTATCAGTCAGGAGGGCATCACACTGATTACTAAACCGAGGTCAGCAAAACCCCCCAGCGATATTGATCAACTGTCATCTTATCGACGGATTATTAATTATCGCTCCGCTCGTCAGCGAATATGACAACGAACCCCAGCGCGGGAAACGCCAAAAACCCGCTACTCTATCCAACCCCGAAACCGCAACTATAATAAGACCCATTGTTCCTCTGAACTCGAGGTCACCTGGTGCCCTGCTCTGACCGGGCAACGTATAGTAGCTCCTCCTGTCCGTGAAATTTAATCGACTTCGAGCCTCGGCGGCGCCCGCATGAGACGGGACCGCGATAAGAATTCGCGAGAAGATTCTGGATGCCCACCTGTTCATGAGGCGGAGGTCTAAGTTATGCTCGCTATCATCTTGAGATATTTATTCTCGGCACCAGCAGTCGTGAAGATACCGCGCCGGCTTGTGGCTAAAATCCGCCTGCATGACTCAGACGTGCTCTGGAGAGTGGTGTCCCCTTCATTCGACCTGTAGGGGGGCCCATCATGATAGAATTACCGTGCAGATAGATCTAACTGTGATACTCCATCCATTATCCTAAGTACAGTACAGGGGAAAAATATGATTAGATCAACTCCAATAGACCCCCGTTTCCGCGGAGAACTAAATTACAGTACCAACAGGCTACAGACATCGCTGTGGCTACTGGATATCACAGCACTATACATTAAGGCCTGACGTGCGAAAAGAAAAAGAAGAAAAAAGCTTTCCGCGCAACATTAAGCGGCAATCCATGTACTGTACTTAACACTATCACCAATCGCACAGCGAAGAGATTCAGTAAATTATTGATCACTACTGCGCTTAATCGGGTGCATGTCCAAGCCAAACCGAGTACTAAATTAACGGTCGGAACAGCCCGACTATGTTGCCGTAATTACCAAGCACTTGCTACAAGACGGTAGTATGCACACACAGCAACCATCTGGGTGGGAGAAGATTGAACTTCCCATCCCCCCCCGTTCCCTCCGAAGTGCTTAATTCCGAGGATGTCTCATCGCAAGTTCGAGAATGATTAACCCCCCCGCCACCAATCCTACTGCTATCCCACCATGTCCATCCAGTCCCATACATCTGCCGGAAGATAAATTCTCAAAACCTTAACTTCGCCGACCCAGGGTGGCAGCAAGGATTAGTCACGATACTCAGTAGTCGTCAGAAGCTTAACTTAACCATATCGTTCCCGCACGTGCTAACTTACTCGCAGAGTAGTGCTAGCGGTAGCAGCAGCAGTGGGGCGCGGTCGAGTGTAAGTACTGTAACAAATTACAATATCTCACGCCAAACGCTACAGACACCATAGGCGCAATCTCCCATCTCCGTCAGCTAGTGAACATAGTTCTTGCGACCGGAGTTGGCTGAGTTAAGTGCCATCATTAGGCACTGCACAGTACCCAGGAGTGAAATCAAAAAAAGGGGGTTTTTTGTTTCGGAACACAAATAACTAAACTCTAATCCACGGGCTTAGAAAGCATGCCAGAGCGGAGCCCAAGATTTCTGGAACTAGAGGGCAGAGCCTGAATGAATGGAGTGAGTCTCAGCGTGGTATCATATTATATCACACAGTCCGGCAAGGCCGAGGGAGGGAATGAAAGACAAAGTTATACCAAAGCATCAGCCACCATTCCGCCTCAATTCCAAGAATTGGCGAGAGCACCATGCTATTGCCATGCTGTATCATAGAAAGAGAAGAAAAAACTAGGAGAGTCATCGAGATGGCGTCAAATTGGGAGGACAGGTTTTTGCACGAGTATCATGGCTGGCGTGAAGGACGCCTAGAACTTTGACCGGACGCGGCCAAACGGGTAGGCGGCAACTATCCCTCTCGCAGCAACTATGGTCGCTGGAAGGCCCGCGCCACGGATTCTCATTAGCATACAGACCGATCGGGGCTGTCTTGAGATGCAACACTCAACTCCATTTTACGCTTCCTTAGTAACTCTGGACATATCCCCCCCCCCCTCTCCCCCCACTCGGGCTGAGCCATACCGCACCACCCACACCCACAACGATATCCCACCACCTAAAATATCACATCTTCCAAATCCCCCGTGGGGAGGAGGGGAAACCCCCCGAAAGCAACCCCGCAACTTGTGCTGACATCCCCACCTACCCACCCCGAGTGTGCTGCCCTTTAACCGCTCCTTATCATAATACATCACTCGCCCGACAAATCACTAAATTGCGGGTTGGTCCAGTTTTATCTTACCCCTCATTCATAGTGGCTTTTGGAAGCGCCTCTGCAGAAGCATGGCGATATGAAACTGATGTGCGAGGGGAAAGAGGGCGAGCTCATCGCAAAATCAAGAGCTTTTTTCTTCTGTTTTCTTTTGGGTCTCTCCGCATCGGCAACATACGGGATGGGTGTAAAGGCAGATAGGATGATCTTGTTTGTTTTATTTAGGTTTCGGGGGGTTTAAAAGAGGGACTAGTGACTAAACTATACAATTCGAACTAGAAGGGGAAAGTGAAGCAAATTGTAGAACTGCGAGGCATGATACCAAAGTTATGGGGACAAACGTAGACACAAGAAAAAGGACAAATTAGAGTAACCCATAGCAACAAAACAGCACAGCAAAAAAGGCAAAAAGTCCAATGTCGCGTAGAGGAGGGGTATAATTTAATTTTCCTCATCAAATCGTAGGCGTCCTCAGCCACAAATCGTAACACTCCAGGCATAACACCCCAAAACGCCCGCCGCTGCTTCGCAAGGGGAAAACAAATCCGGCAAAATGATAGAATAAACATCCATGAGTATGTGGGCCCAGCAAGATGGAAGGGAAGGGAAATCACTACAGCACAGTCAGAGAAAGGGTTGGACGTCCGGAGCGATTGTAGTGGTCAACCGAGATAGCGGCTGGTTAGGTACTGAAATTACGACTTGCTATGGGCTTTCTTCTTGAGGGTGGGCGATTGACGAGCACCGCTTGCAATTCTCTCTGAAGTGCCAATCCGGCCTCAGTTTTCTTCTTGTGTTCGGCGATTCTCACTCTCTCCTCTTGGACCTTGCGAATGCGTTCATCCCGCGTCATTATACTCCGGGGCCTAGGCTCAGCAACAGCCTCAAACACCTGCTCGTCTTCGGAAAGGCGTTCTCTATCCTCCGTTGTTGGCGAAAATAAGCCGAACCCTGCATCGTCCGCCCACCCGGTGCCACCACTTCCAGACAATATGGAATTCCTGGGCGTATCGCCCACCAATGTGGTTCCACCGACGGATTCCGGGGGTTTTGAGGGCGGTGAGCTGGCGTTTCGGTCAAGGCTCATTGCGAGAAAGGACCGTCCGTCCTCCCATTCATTGACAAGAGCGTGCAAATCCGCGCCAATGGAGTCATAGTGAATGAGTAGGTCCGGACCGAAATCAATTAAACCTGTAGACTCCTTCAAAGTACGATCTGATTCCTCTCGGAGAACATGCATCTTAGCGTGAAGCCCTGTAAGAGCTTGGGAAAGAGAATTGAGCTTTCGGAGTTGCACGCGATAGCGCTCATTCTCGGGAGACATAGGCGATTTGGGAGTTGGAGGCACAAAGAATTCTGTAACAGATTAACTCAACCGCATGGTTGCCGCATAGATCAGGAGACATATGCATACGCTCTTCTTCCCCAAGTATACGTTTGACCTCGCTGCCCAGCTCCCCAACCAAGCTCCCAAGGGTCCTCAATTGCTCGACAGTAATGCGCCACTTGTTGAAATCAGGGTGGAGCCCATCAGCTTCTAAAGCTAACAAACAGCACAAAAATATCCTCCTAACAGTATGGAGTCGATGGACCAACGCTTTCAACGCTTTAAGGCTCTCCATATCATCAAATTCTCCATTGTCTATTTCGGCCTCAATGTTTTGCACGTCTTCTCTACGAATATCATATATATCGTAGTATTTTTCGATATCGATTTCCTGAGTCAGATGTCGGAGAGACATGCAAGCTCGGATATGCGGTGGTATTCCCAGACTAAATGCAGAAAGTAGTGAACGGCGTAATCGAGCGCATCGTCGAGTCTGACTATCCCTTTCTAATCGAGTTATTGGGGGTAAAGGTGTGCTGCTGGGATGATTCGTCAGGGGTAACTCGCACAATAACAAACCAGCGCCCGGTGGAGAACAGAGTCCATAAAAGGGATAGAAACTCACAGCCTATATCCTCTGGAGACCAGTTCCACTTCTTGGATGAGAGTCACGGCGTTTGATGCTAAAACATCAAAGGTCTGGCTATTCTCTACAAACAAAGCAGCAAATTCTATAGCTTTCGCTCGCAGGGAGCGCAGCCACCTACGCCTTGCATGAGCAAAGAGAGAGATCGCTACAATCATTGATAGCAACAAGGCCGCTATCGCCCGGCCTTTGCTAATCCCACTCCTCCCATTGCCGCCTCTCAATACCCACGCAAACAGCAGAGACACAACCAATACACAACCCCCGCTACCGGCCCAATATATGCTTTTTGCATATTGTGGGCCAAAGATATCTGTCGACGTTACCTCATCGAGAGAAAACAGATCTGGGTCGGATTTCCGATCATAATGGGAGACGTTTACATGTTCGTTCAAAAGCTGCGATGCGACAATAATATAACGAAAGCGTTCGAGGAACTTGGAATTCTCGTTTCTGCTCAATCTCGAATCGACAACTCTCTATAGAAAAAAGAAAAAATCAGTCGCCGATTCTCGGCAAGTGCCGGGGATTAACAACGGGAATCAAAGGCATAGAAAAGGGCGGCAGATCGACGAATCGTCAAAAAAAAAAATCAACATACCGAAAAGAATTCGTAGAACTTCGCCTTTCGGCTCCAACTGGGATCGCTCAACTTCAAGGGCTTCAACCCCTTTTTCCTGAAACGACCGGTAATAGACGTCAGTGGTGGAGCGAATATTGGCTGACTCTCCTTTGCCGGCACCGGACCCGATAGTTCTATGCCCCAGGACGCTTCGCTCTCACCATTTCCTGTTTGTGCGAACGCAGTCAGCAAAGCGATTCAAGAACGAAGTATGCCGACGAGAACAAGTTTGAATTTCTCAACACACCTTCAAGGTACTCGGCAAGAGGTGAATTTGCGAAAACGATTGACTCCATAGGGATCGTGAAGGCAGTGAGATGGTCGCTTCCCGCTGGCTACCATAGGCAGGCTCCAAGCTCTTCCAAAACTCGCGGTCTCGCGTTGGGCTGTTTCTGCTATTGGTGTCGTTAGGGGAGATGTCTGTCGGCGATGGTGGTGGGGCCTAAAAGAACGGGGGGCTTGAGTTCACAGGATTGGCCGAGGGGAACACGCAAACGGCGGGCAGAGAGACACGATCCAAGAGAAGAACAGAGAGTGTGTTCCAAGTTGACCAGTAATCTCCTGTATGCTGCACGTGCTACATAAGAGGACCCGAATATCCCACAAGTTCAGGTCCGGGGGCGAAGGGGGAGGAGCCTGTTGACCGGTAAACTATGGATGAAGGAGAACGCTCCGGCCCGGCTAAGGCAATCAAACGACCGAACGGGTTACGGCAACAACGAAGACACGGACAACACCCACGAGATAGTATCAACAAGTTATTTTTCCTTCACAGGCACAGATGGAACCGCGGTTTCTCACAACCCTCTCCCCATAGTTGAAAGCGAAATTGTAAAGGTTTATTGTTATTACCCTACTTAGGGTTCCCCCTAGTATCCATCCCAACAAAGCAGGTACTGTACTAAAACCTATTGGGCTCCCGAATCAGCGGAATCCAATTTCCCCTAATAACGCTTTCCCTTTCTCACCCAATTCCGCTCACCCAGACCAGCTCCCGGGGGCGAAGGGGTTCGCCTTTTGTTCGTAGTTTTCGTGGGAGCGAGATTGTTTGTCCCCCTATCACTCAAGGTACCCGTCCTCGTCCCTTCATCTGTCTCACTTTCACCCGGTTTTGCGACTCAATTGAGCCGGAGAATTACACAAACATAGTCCGATGCACACAGCTCCCTACCAACCGGTGCCGTACCACCATGCTTACATCGGTGCCGGATGGTGCCCGCGCACAAGTGCAGTCAGTACCTGCTTTTGTGCAACTCTCGGGCAGAAAATGGGGCTTAAACAAAAGCATTTCCAGAAACCCATCTCATCACGTCCACCGCAGCAAATGAACATGATGCCTTTCAACTGCCATGCGTTCTCTGAAACCTATGGCCCCTCCAACTTCCGCATGGCCTCACTTCACAAACTTCGAAAAAGGGAGAAACCGGTGGCGGAGCAAGCCAAACCTGTCCCATCAGGAGAGAGGAAAATTGGAGATATTGGAATGGTCCAAATTATTCAATGCAGCGCAAGAGGGGCATCCGGACGAGAGATGATATTTTTGCCTCCTCACCCGAGCACCGTAGAATCCAGGCTGTCCAAAATTTCCTCCCCTGGAAAGGGGGGGGGGGGAAGCGGAGCAAAGGTAATTTTTTCAGCCCTCGGAAAAAAATTACAGAAAATAACGCCAGGCCTTACCAGAGGAAGCAGTTCGAACAACATGGCACACGGTTCAATAACTTGAGATCCTACGGTGTGAAAATTAGTCAAAATGAACTGAATCCCTCCGGGGAAAGCGGTATGTTGACAAAAGCATAGCAATAGACAAGTTGCCTTGACAACGTAAGCAACTTTGAGCAACCTCAGCTGCACCAATCGAAAGAGCTCGAGACTATTTTACTCTAACAACGCCACACAATCGGTATTATCGGTATCTTACCAACTTATGTCATTCATGTCATCTAACTTATGCCCCCCGTCATCCGATCCGGTAACTAATCTTCCTTTAACCAACATACCCTGCTATATGTCTCTTCGGCGTCTCGCAACCTTTTCTAATGTTTGGCCATGTATGATAGTTGTTTTTTTCATTTCTTACTCGTGATTTGTCAATTATGCCCTTCTCACTATCTCGCCTCTTTACCCCCGTAATGCCCGTTAAAGTGCTTGGGGATTAATACAGGTTTGCCCCCCATTTTCCCTCCTACGCCAAGATATCTCTGGTACCATAAAGTACTCCTGTGCTAACAAGCCGTGCTATTCTAGTGTGGCTATGATACTAGCCCTTACTCAGGACTAAGTATTCATATGATAGCATGTCATAGAAGACGAAGAATAAGGTTTCAGGTTAAAGTCACTGGTACCGCTTGGCCTTCGTTCAACGGATGATCCCTAACCTCGTGACTAGTGCCTACAGGCACTTGTTCCGGATGGTATCATATGTTGTATCTTTTGGGCCTCCGAACCTAGATCTCACCGTTCCCTGGTCCTAAGACATGCGATTCTCCGCGGAACATTCCAAATTACAATTGCGCCTCATTCGCTTATGCTTCAGTGAAGCCGGATAGGCGGATCTGCACGGTATTAGATACGGCGTGCAGCACTTTACTATCTGCTAGGCTTGCATCAACGTTGAAGCATCTTGAATGTCGACGCTTGCTATTACCTTGCAGCTAACGGGAAGCACTCCCGGGTTCAGGGAAAGTCTGGCCGAATGGGCATATCCTTCGAGTCATATCATGGCGATTTATATGAAGGACTTTGGTGCTGCGGTATGGTTCGTATGGCTCAGTGGCGGGCGAGACGACGGTGGAAGGATAAGATACCATATCCAGAAATACACCCGTGCCTGGTGCTTTTGATAATGGCTTTCGGCTTGGAGCCGAGGGGGTTTCATTCGTAACTATACCTCTATCCCCGGGTTTCAATTGGTCTTTGTCTAGATAGTTTTAGTGATTTCTACGAGAGCTTCTCTAGGCAAGTTAAATTACCGGAGTCTTTGATTGTCATTGGCCCAAAGAGCCTCTGTACAGAGCTTGTTTCCACTATATAATAATGGGTCTTCCTCCCTTCCAAGAATTCTCCATCCAACAAACATCTCTTCGCCTTTTACTTGCCATCTCAACAAGTTCGATCCCGCTCTTGGAGAATATATTTCTACCGTTCACTCTCAGCAGCATCTTTTCTCGCCTTCGGGCCCCCCAAGCTTAAAAGAGTTTACAGAATTACGAAACCCACTTGTCCTGTCCTTAGTCTCTACAGACGGTTCTCAATCCACTGCTCATATTAGTCTTTGAACCCTATTTCTACAGAAATGCCTCCCCAAGATCTCTTTTCCAATTCCGTGAGAGAAATCATCCATGTCAATAGGGCTCTCAAGAAAAGTTCTGACAGCTGGCAAAACTATATCGGCACTGTCCACTCCTGTGTGAGCAATATCGACCAAAGCGGCGTCATGTTGGATAATGGGCGCCTTGGGGAGAGGGTGAAGATAATCGATGAGGTCCAGGAATTTTCGTACTTTGACGCGGACAATGGCGGGATTGATGCGCTGGCCAATTGGTGTGTGAGAGAATGGAACAGAATCAAGGAGAGCTATCCGGATCACGTTGGAGCCTTTGAAGGTACGGGATATTGACCTCCGCCCTAACCACTACAATTCAGGCCATAGATTCCTTATTGCACAGGACACATGCTTACTCCGGTACAGGCCATGGACGGTGGTGGCTCTTGAATGCTCAGCAATTCGTGGCCAAGATTGCGCGAGAGGAAGAATCTGACGAGGAAGACGCAGTCGCGGATAGAAGACGAGGGACCGAGAATTACTACCAGGCACGTGTGGCCTTTGCCTCTGCCGTAGGCTTGTTCAAGCAATCCGAAGAGAATGCGAAAAAGCACCATTGCTTGACAGGCAAGCTTTTGGAGCTTGTAAGTTATACACCTTCCTCATCCATAGGGATGATCGTTCTCTACTTCCCAATGTAAAGCGCATATAGCTGACGGGCCTTTTTCATTTCTGGCGGATAGAAGGCTGAAGCTTGTATATCCCTTGGAAACGTTTCCTCTACGAGGGATTCCAGGCCACACTTTGAAGCTGCGCTTGACGCCCTAAGGACGGCGGAGGGATTGCAAGGGTACACGCTACCCGCTCATCTCACCCAGTGAGTATCTTTAACCTGTCCTATCAGGCAAATCGCTGATCAGCTCCGATAGGTACCTACGTGAGCACGAGTATGTCTTGAGGTAAACGAATGCCACGTCAAAATCATTGCCTTTTGGGTTTCCTGAGCTCCACGAAGTGGTGCATTGACCAAAAATAGAGGCGTTTTTTTTTTTGTCTTTTCTGTCTTCTGTCTCTCCCCCCAAATTGTCTTAGTTTCTGTTTTTTTTCACTCTTATAGACTGGCTTTTATGATCCCCCCTTCCCCCCACTCCAGTCATACCGCCCCCAGTTAATTCACCTATCTATAAGCATTTCGTCACGTTTCCTTCTTACACGCTCACTGAATGAATTCACCTCACTTTGAGGATAAAATACAATTTTGTAAAACAACTGCAAAGCATAGACAGCGTGACATGTAATCGGAGGTCGGGGCGATTTTTTAGCTCTAGTGATATAGACGCATAGTCACGACGAGAGGCCGGGCAATGGGGAGGAAGAAAGACCAATCGAGGATGCGAGACGGCTCAACTAGAAGCATTTTGAGCAAACTTCTACCCCGCATGATACAAGAGGGGACGGATACAGTAGTTCCAAGAGGTTTCCGTGCTACTACTGTCTAGAAGCGCATCCAGAAAAGTCGACGTCTTTTCTTGCCCGCACCGACTTACTTACTACTCAATTAGCGCTGACTGTGAATCATGCAGCGGAATCCGCTACCCAAAACTTCCTCCAGAAGAGACAACCCATCCATCCCTCAGGGAGGTAGAGGGAGAGAGGAGCCTCCTCCTCACTATTCCCCCCCCTCCCCCCCATCCTCACCATAATGCCGGTATGATATTATGATATGCCTAATGTTCCCTTATCCAAATAAGCAATGATAAGCCAATGAATAGGTATGATATCAATATCCCTAGCAGCAAGTCAGTCGCGTGGTAGTAGTGGTCTAGGCACCCCCGCCATGCTGAACTGCATTCCGTGCTTTACAATCACAGCGCCGAGACTCGAAGGAGAGAGAGGGTAAAAAAAAATAAAAAAGCAAATAAAAAACCCACCGAGTGACCATACCTTAAAAAAAACCCCCGATCATCTCCGTCCCCCTGCTAGCACCACAGCTCCGACCTCAACCCTATCAGCTCAACTCGAACTCGCTCTAGCTCGTACCGTGCGATGCCCCGGTGTGCAATGGTCAAACTTGGAACGTACTTGTAAAACATACACTAGACAAAGTGCAGAAATACGGTATTTGCCACTGCTTCGTACGTTTATTCATAGCTCTTCGGCAGGGGAATGGGTGAGTGACCGAAGCGAGTGAGACCCCGAGCATATCATACCGTAATGCCGGTATATGGGAAGGGGTCGGCCCTATTGTACTGCGCCAATTGCTTTTCTGTATTTTGTGTCTCTTGCGTTTTATGTTTTTTAAATTATATCAAATTTTTTACTGGGTGGGTGGTTTAGTGAACTAGTAACCGGTCTTGTATAACAGGTATGGTATTGAATCGTACCCCGCAATACTGGGGAGCTGAGGTGAATGGGGCAAGGTACCGGTGTCGTGTTGACGGTACTACCAGCGGGACGGGTACAATATGGGGGGTTGTAGAGCAGGAGCGTAAGTGGCGGTGTGCATGAATAGTATCATGGTCGGGGCGAGTGGATTCATTTCGCAATGTCTGCTGGTAACACAGTACCAGTACGGCGCAATAGACGAGTTATGCTCGGCCGTTGGGAGCAGTGTGATGGGTGGTATCATACCGTATTAGCAAGCACACTCATATCCCCCCCTTAGACGTCAGTTGGTTTGAATAAGCTGGGTGCGGTGGGTGCAGGTGCCGATGCGGTACACCGCCCCAAGACTTGGTTCAGGTATAGTGTGGAATAGGGTACGGGTCTTGGTATGACACAGTACCATAGCGTGGTGTTGTGAAGGGAAAACAGAAAGAAAGAAAGGATGTCTTAGTTAAACCCTTCTTCACAGCCACATATGCGGAAGGGATGGTTACCCGTAATCCTAATCCACGGCAGGGTACCGGTATTCCGCCAGAATTGCCAAGCACCGCAATATCTGCCGCTGCATTATAGTAGAGTATGATACCAGTACTGCATGTCAAAATCTAATACAAGTAGCGACTCGAGCAAGTGAGACCCCGCTCCAACCCGCGATACCATAGCAAGCAAAGCACAATACCCCGTATCAAAACCCCGGGCTTCACCCCATCACAATCAGCAACACACAGCCCTACCCAGAACGCGCGACAAGTGCCCCATCCCGCCAACCAACTCCTGGGAAGGGCGTCGGTAATCTCAAAAGCTGTGATAACTAATCCCTTCGAGAGTCGCCCGAACGGATAATCCGAAAAAGTTACCGTTGCACAAGTAGGGTGAGAGTTGATGAAATCCCCATATTGCCAGTGTTTCCGAAACCAAGCTGAAGTTTGCATTACCCGCCCCCCCCCCATTCACTTTTCGTCTCCACGAAATGCGATACGGGGGGGGTAGACTACCCTTACCAGTATGATACTTGCAAGCACGGGCACCGTTCCATCGGAATCCTTCCGGAAGCGTGGCGGTCTGTCAAACTAGCGTGGAAGGAGAGGGGAAGGAATAGGCAACCCGCACCCGAACAGAGCCTCAAAGCCAGAACCTCCCAGAGGGTACAGGTAAAGCTTGTTTCGTCCTTACTAGCGACTAGCACCCCCCCCCCGCTATCATGCCAACCCCTGAGCATTCGAACCGTCAGCTCGCCAACGGTAACTCAGCCACCTTTCCTTCCCCTCTAAACTGGGTAGCGTAGCTGGCATATCATATTTTTCCAGCTGCGGAGGGGTACCCGTAATGTATCGCGGTGATACCAATACGAGTTATGCGAGTAAATTCGGACACCCAGGCGCCAAGGCATTCGGGTGCTTCGTGAACTTTGTCACGAGCACATAAGCACGACGGATATTTGGGATCGGGGTTTATTCAACACGGTAGTAATAGGAGTCCACAGTGCTGCTGCCTGCGCAATTCTTGAAGAGCTTCGAGGTTTGCTTCCGGTGCCTTGGGTTATCCGATATGATGTTCAGCTTGAGTTTTGTGCCCCGGCTGTGATTGGCCAGTGGGATGTGCGGTTGGATGGAGAGTGCTGCCATCTTGTGCTATTGCTAGGCTTGCGGAATTGGGGGAGGGGGGGGGGCTCATTGCATTCTGAACGGCATCGTATTGAACCGTACCGGTACAGCATGACATGGTGTGGTGTGGTATGTATGCACTTATTCTCACTCTTCTTCTTCCTCGTGACAATGAATTTGGGGCATTAAGTTACATGGTACGGTTATCATACCAGCTTGATTCCCCGCATAACTCAACTCTACACAGTGCAGGTATTACATTACCGGCACGATGCATACCCCGTCTTTCACAGCCACACACGAAATCGCAACTTACACCCCCCATCTAAAACACCCAACTTACCAGCACTCGAGTAGATATACCATACATCACCCATCATGCAAAACGGGCACATTATATACCAGTTGCATATAACTTAAGCCCTCAACACAGTAACATAAAACACCACCGCCAAGAAACCCAAGCCTAACGCAATCACAGAGCCAAAAGGCTGGGGGGGCACAAACCAAGCAAAGGGGGAAGTGGGTCTTCGCAAGAGAATACCGGTAGAATAAAAAAACAAGCTTTCGCTTCCTGGGGTAAATAAGTGAAACCCTATTTCATTTCCTACCTCCTTACTTCCACACTTGAACTCCGTTTCAATCGACTCAGCCCCTCCGTTGCGCATCACAAGTGCTTGATCTGGTAAAGCGTCAAATCGAAGTTGTGACACGCTTTGTTCGTGGGGTAGCGACTCGGCATTTCATCGTGGGGTAATCAAATGGTGTATGCGGTGGGTGGGGGATATGTATGCAGTGATGATTCCCCATGGGAAGGAAGGTGGGAGGGAAGTAGGGGAGGTTTCAAGTGGCATGCATAGCCTACCGACTGACTTGACGACCAGCTGGATGGGCGTTACAATAGAGGTCCGAAAGGGGAGGAGGTTTATCTCGTGCTAATTACCTTAGTGTCGTCCTCCTTCATCATGTTGAAGCGAGTGAGGCTCTGCTGGGTAGGTATGATACCTGGGTTGGCTGGCTGGCTGGCTGGCGCAGGTACAGTACCGGTGCATAATTAGTCGGATGCACAGTAAGTTTCGTTGAAGCAGGTGGTGCGCAGCAGGCGGGAAAATTAAGGTTAACAAACCGCTGAACAGTACGAGTAACGGCAGTAATCGGTTTACAGTAAGAGAAGAGGAAGGTACCGGAAGGGGGAGGGGGTGAAATGAATGAAGGCGGGTATGGGAGGTTCCCACCCCCGCATCTTGGATGAGCCTCGTTGCTTCCTGCGGAGTATGATATGGTAGAGGAGGGGAAAGGGGGTCGGAGGGCCCAGATCATTCGCCTCGACACTCCACAAGTAGCGGGTATATCACTTGTTTGATAATGTAATGCACCTAGATCTTCCTACTGTTTGCCGCTCTAGAGCCTGAATCTTGATCTTGCTCTTAGATGGTAGTACGATACATGTGCTCGGGTTGCGCCAGGGGTTGGGGTGAAGTTTGGGACAAGCAGGGGTAGCAGAGGCCTGTACGAGGTAAATACATACTGCACTGTACTAGTACAATATACCTTGAAAGTACTCGTACTTGTAGTATTAAAGAAAAATAACTACTAATCCAAGTCCTGTAATCCCACCACCCCAGCTACTTGTCCGATATTTTCCCAACCCCCGAGCGGGCTGTGCATGTATGCGTGTATGGTACTCCCTATCCCTCAGGGGAATCACGAATAATGGGTTTGGGAGAGCAACTCTTTCTCTATTAACCTAGCGGCCGGATTTCAATTCCTTACAAAGACCTCCCTACTTGTAGATACCCGATCAAGGAGAAGAAGAAATAGCAAACGATAAAAACAAAAGAAGACACAATGGACTATCATGCCATGTTAGGCGATGTCCGGATATAAAAAGTATCTGAAAAGGCGTGGACAAAAAAGTGCAGACAAAAAGGAACAAAGGGGGGGGGGTAATGGAGACGTCGGACCCGGACGCGGCATGTTCTCAAGGAAAGAGTTAGGAAAAACTGAAAAGTGAAGCGAAAAAACCAAGCGAAAAGAAAACAAATTTGTGCACCAGGTCCCCCGAACAGATCTCCACAACTAATCCATAATGATACATCCCGTGAACCCAAAATCCCATGAACCCCCACCCCTGCCATACTAGCAGGAATAAGAAAAACCGTTGTATAGTAAAGACATATCAAGAAGTGAAAAGCAGCTACCAAAAAAAAACAAAAAAAACACGAGGCGCAGATACAGCGGGTAGCTAAAACTATGGGAACTGTGTGCTCCTTCAAATGCGCAATCTGTTACTGCTGACTGACTGGCTGCACCGCCATGATCACCGTGCGTGATTTACGAGCTCCTCAAAAAGTTCTTCCGGGATCTTTCGCACTAAGCTCACAGCAACACTGACAATCATTTTTGCGTTCAACGGCGGAAATTGGCGTAGAAGTTTCATTGGGCTGTGGATGCAGGGTGTGGAGTCAGCGTTATACGGGGCTGTGGTAGTAGTAGGGTGTTACGAAGGGGATCACATACCTTTGGGCGACCAGCAACTCATCCCGCATCAACAGCAGCTGCCCGACTACACATAAGATGTTGAGATGGGCCCCATACGCCAAGAGGAAATCCCATAACTTTAGCACCTCGGGAAGCGGAGGTGTACATGCTGACAGTGTTAAGACGGCTACAAGTAATCGCGTGTTAGCTTGGAAATTTGGTGCTGGGAATAGGATCTATGGGTTCCAAGGTGAACATACAAGGGAAGGCATATAATTCTGCAGAGAGAAACTTTGATTGTAAGTGAGCATATAATTTCGGATCCACCGTTTCTAAGCATTGATCCACCAACTATATCCGGATTAGCGTATATTGGAAAAATCAAGGCAAGTAGTTAGTTGGTCATAGGTTTTTGGATATGTATATGAAACTTACTTTGAGTCCGCGGTGGACACCCTCCATTGTCGGTTTAACATAGCCCGGACACTCTCTCTGAATAAACACCGAAAAAAGGGAAAAGGCCTCCACTTCGCTCCTCGCGGCGTAGAGAAAAGGGGCGGCAATGACGTTCATGCCCTGAACGTATTGAGCGTCGGTACCAGAATCTCGCATTTTCCATTGAAATGCATTCAAAAGCCGGATCAGCGAAGCCTCAGAGACCCTTCGACGAAATAGGGGGTCAGTGGCAAGTGTTCTGAATGTATCGTTGCGGATCTTGGAATAGCTGCTAGAAGCTCCACGGCGGACAAGAGAAACATAATCGCTCGTGCGCATCGGACTTATGCCCAGCAGTATGGACCAGATGTATATCCTTAGGGGGGACTGATCCCACAACAATAATAAGCATTTAATGTTCATACGAGCCATCCAGCGACAAGAGATCATACATTTCCATCACTGTCCGCTTGTATTCCTTCTGTAAGAATTAGGTACCGTAAATCTTGCAAGGCCTCGACGAGGTTTGCTGGGGGCCTGCTTATAAGACTTTCAATCGTTGGATTTTGTTTTGGTACTAGTTGCGCGCTCGAGGTGGTCTTGCGCGCATACCGTTGATTGTTGTTTACCGGGTATTTGGGACCGTCAAATTGGGACTGTGATTGAGAGCGCTGGCGCTTGGGTGCCAGCGGATGATTCGTAATATTCGCAAGAGATTGGCTAGAACTTTGTGCAGCGCTCAAAAAAGCCGGAGAGGGAGCTGAATTGTGATATTCGCTCTCGAGAAGGGATGAGGAGGGGAATTTTTTGACGCGGCGGAGCCCGGGGCCTTTGGGGTTCAGCATGTTTGTTTTGGTTGTGAGGTAGCGGTGGTGTTAAAGAGTTTGCGGATCAGGACGGTTGAAGAAACATAGCGGTGGTGGTATTAGTAGTGGCAGTGGTGTTTGTAAGATGACAGTCGTGTCTTCTGGCCTTTGGTGATGAAAATTAAGCCTACGAATGGGGGGTTGGATGAAGGTTGCGATAGGGCTTGGCAATGATCAACAACAAAGAGAAAATGGCTTGCTGGCCACAAGTGGCTTGTGCTCCCGCCTTGCCAAGAATTACTTACACATGCGGGTATCGCGCAATAGGAATGGAGAAGTACCGGTAGCCATCCTTCTTCCGTCACTAGTCACATCCCCAATTTTTCCTCAATTTGGTTTTGGGATCATGTCGGGCCACAAAGGGATCAGTGCACCCGGAGAAATGTCTTAATCCCCATTTTGGGGCTTCTGCCATATCCCACGAGCAGATAACCACTCAGTCGCCCATGTGCCTGTCGTCTTAGAGCGTGCTCTTAGGCTGCGAGGAATGTTTTATCAGGGCTTGGTATGAGACTATTGGGAATGCGGGACATTATCAACCGATTCATATACCGGTAGCTTACCATTTGAGAGATTGGTTACCGAGAATAATCACCGGAAAGCTCCGGCCAATTCCTTAGTGGGCCGTATCGTAGATTTAGAAGGTCACGGACCTATTTCCGGAAGTAGATCTTCATAGACTGCCTTCAGAGTGTACTGTACTCGTAAAGGTCTAGGAAGCGTACCGGTAGTATTACTAGCGGTATCTATATTCTCCTTTAATCCCATATTCCCAAGAACACTGTCTAGGTTGGGCAGGTCGAAATTGAGATACTGCCAGGGAAGAATGGACAGCGCTATAGCAGGAAAATGGCCATGTCTCGCTGGATATGGAAGTGCCCAAACCAGGTTTACTATACAAAAGCAACTAGCTTTGGAGCGAAGCACCATATCCTTTTACTGAGGGGGATTAATCTACTGTTTCCAAGGAGACTAAAGCTTGAACCCTGGGGAGTCTAAATTTGTCAAGGTCAAATCATAGGCACTAAACAACCGTCTCGGGCAGTGTCTATCACATCTATTTGGCGAATCCATTACTACCTTGGAGGATCCCTGAAGCGGTTACCCCACAAGCGAAATGTATATGTATTCTGCTCTACGCACCTCTTAAAATCTATTGCTAGCTTTACAGTACTTCCAATCAATACGGCTACTTTGCTGGAGAATCAGGCTTGAACTTTAAATCACTTACTATCCACCAGATATTTTGGAGCTGGCATAGGTCTGTAGTTCGCCGGGATAGCTGATTCTCTTTGAACAGTAGAATTTTGAATTTAATACTAAGGGTATTATTATTTCTTGCTATTGCAGTACCGCACAGTGTCTTGGACTCCCCCTCCTCACTTTTAAGAAATTACGGAATATTTCAGAATTCTGGTGACAGAAGCGGATCATATATCATGGGATTTTACAAACTGGTTTCTGGCACTCATTACATCCCTTGTTAGATTTCTTTGTGCCATGGCCTAGGATCAATTTAGATAGTTAGACTCTTGCCATACTTGAAAATTTTAAGCCTCCGGTGGTGCACCGGGACCGGGGGCCTTGTGGCCGGGCTCTTGGGGGGTGGTTCGAGACTTGAAATGTAATCAAGCATTTACTAAGCGTAATGAGGTCTTTGTATTGAACCATTTTAACCTCTAGCATCACATCACTTTCATGCACCACCCAAAGTGTTGCAATAGAGCGAATGAGGGGGAGGAGTACCCAGTATATTCGGCAGTAGTCAGGCCCCCAAGTAGGAGCTTCGTGACACGATCTGTCGAGCCCCGTTAGCTTCTAGGTTCTCCTCACCTTCTCCTCATTCCCACAACCACCCCAAAAGATCTGATCAGCTGCCCCAGTCATCCATGGCAATTTAATTGGGTCTTTCTCATTTAATTTCCTAGGGAGAATAGAGCCCGTAGGTACGTGAGTCGCTGTAAGCATAGCCACGAGGCTCATTAAGCTCTGTTTGGATACGATGATTATGTTCCGTTTTGCAACCGTTTCTACTGTGAAAACGATCGTCGAACGGAAGGAAACTGTCAGTTTGTATGGAGCAACAGGACGGAGGTATTGTATCCAAACAGAGCCTAGGCCAACTCGGGAAGAGAGCTTAGGGGTGATTTGCAGAGGCATTGTACTATTTCCAGGCGTTTTTGGGTAGAAGAGCCTTAGTTATTATAGAATACAATCTTCACAGGTTCCAGGCGGTAAACATTTGAATTCAAAACTCGATTCTAAGTTTTACGATCGCCCAGTTGGCATTTTCAAGGCTCACATGGTCAGGAATTCTTATGGAAAATCGCCCAAGCGCAATGACGTCGCGACCCATGCTGCGATCCTGAGCAAGAGACGCGAGAAGGTCATTGATGGGGTTAGGAGGGTCGGCGGTGCGGTTTTGTTGCCGAACGGGATCGTGATTAGCGTTTCTACTGGGCCTTGATAGAGCTTTGCTCGCAGCTTCTTATAGTCAAGGGTCCCTTTGGTTTGATCTCATGGATTGGGTTGTTATATGCTCTTGTACTTATTATGCTTATTGTGCTTCTTATCCCGAAGTTCTCCCGTGTTCCCGCTTCTCCGCAGGGAACCGGTAGAGCTCCAGGATAATAGTGATTGACATATTTTCGGAAGGATCGCTCCTTGCGTGTTCCAACAAATAGGAGCTATCATAACCCCATCTGTTCTTTCCGTCCACACTCTATTTTCTCATGTCTTACAATTGTCTTCATCCACGGCTCTCCAGATTTTTACAACGGGGCCTGATCCTATTGAAACTTGATAGAACCTAACGTAGTTTTGAACCTTGTTGTCCACAGTGCTCCCCATCCTCACGATCACGACTTTCTAGGATGTTCCTGGTATTTCTTGGTTCGCACCTCAATTATCGAATGGCCCCGGAGAATTGGGCGATAATTCAGGCTCAGAAATTGTTAGAAGAGTTGATATGCACATGGAATTGGGATCGGGAGTGCGGTTGGACTTAGGACTATACTGTGGAGTGTGGTGTCGCTTACACACTGGATGAGATATATGCATTGAGGATTACGTATCATACTCGATGCAGCACTGGCCTGGGTTGTCTGAGGAGCGATGGTTTTCCTTCTACTCGTCATTGATTTTGTTCTCTCCTTTTTGTTCTCTTCCTTCTATTCTTGAATAACAATAACTATACGCTTCATCTCATCAAGACCGCTTCTGCAACGTAGCTTCCAACAGAAATGATTCCGTGAATTGGATGGCTCCCAGACGGGTTCATTTCACGTGGCTTCAAAGCATTCGAGAACCATTCTAGAGGAAGTATGATATCATAGATAGAAAAAAAACATCAGAACTTTCATATTGTCATGTCGGAATATCCACAACGCCCACTTGAGGTTGTAAATGGAACGTATATGGGGTGAGCTGTCATGGATTATCACCCGCTAGCTACGGCAACGTCACTCATAGCATATCGCCTTCACATGCAGTATTATATGAGAACTAGAGCATCCTAATCCAGCACCAGGTTCTACACTCCCGATGGAGAAGGCAGGGCCAAATGATATTGGCACTTTAGTGGTTCGGTTTTCTCTAATCCTCAAGTGCTAGAGGCAGCAATAAGTAAATTAGGTATCTCACCCGAAATATTAGGATATCTATAATAATATTATTGTGGTGGGCGCCACACCTAAACCTATTACACCATGCAAAAATACAAACAAAGAGAGCTATCGTACAACACTGAGAGATCCCCACAAAAGAGATTCTGCCATGATACTATATGCTACATCCCAATCCAACTCCGTTTTATGATTAAGCAAAGGAATGAAGAAAGACAGGATTAGTAAACGGTAGGACCGATCGGAGAAAACTTCTAACCTTAAATCCCCAAACGCCAGAAAGAGAAAAGGGAGATATCAAAAAAGTGAATCTGCTCCGTATATCAGACTAAATGGCATAAATTCCGCATATTCGAAATATTTTCGGTACCAACTGCGATGTCCGCACGGCAATCTCATCGCTCGGGATGTCGAACGAGGGTCGTAGGAGAAGACATGTAGTAAGAATGGTTGTGTAAGGTGTCCGCTAATGTTCTAAAAGGGACACAGGGCCAGGTTCGAAGACGCCGAAAGAGGTCACACCCCAAGGGCTCCATGCCAAGCCGGGTGTTGCATTCCGGGCATCGAGTAACTTCACTATTCTTTCATGACTATTCTTGGTGGCCCACGAGAGCGGTGTTCGGCCCCGATTGTCCGGCCTATTGGGGCTAACGTCACCTCGCCCCAACAGTAGCATCACTACTCCGTCACACCCATTCCCAGCAGCCCACGAGATCGGTGTTCTGCCGCGATTGTCTGGCCTATCGGGGTTTGTATCGTTCCGCCCCAACAAGAGCCTCGCCGTTCTCTCATGTCCATTCTTGGCAGCCCATGAAAGCGGTGTTTCGTCCCATTTATCCGGCCTATTGGGGTTGATATCTTCCCGCCCCAACAATAGCTTCACTACTCCACCGTGCCCATTCTCGGCAGCCAGCGAGAGCGGTGTCCGGCCACAGTATGTTCCTGGTTTATCGGGGTTGACATCTACCCGCCGCAACAGTAGCCTTACCACTCCCACACGCCCATTCTCGGCAGCCCAAGCGAGTGGTGTTTTTCCGCGATCGTCTGGCTTATCGGGGCTGATATCTTCCCGTCCCAAGAGTAGTTTCACTACTCTGTCACGCCCATTTTTGGCAGCCAACGTGAGCGGCGTTTGGCCCCATCCGTCTGGCCTATCAGGATTAACATCTTGACGTCCCAACAGTAGCTTCACTACTCCATAATATCCATTCTCGGCAGCCAACGAGAGTGGTGCTTGGCCGCTATTGTCTGGCCTGTCAGGACTGACACCTTCCCGTCCTAACAGTAACTCCACTACTCCACCCCACCCATTCTCGGCAGCCAGCGAGAGCGGTGTCCGGCCGCAGTATGTTCCTGGTTTATCGGGGTTGACATCTACCCGCTCCAACAGTAGCCTCACTACTCCATCATGCCCATTCTCGGCAGCTAGCGAGAGGGGCGTTAAGCCTCGATTGTTTGGCCCATCAGGGTTGACGTCTGCCCACCCCAGCAATAGCTTCACTACCCCCTCACGCCCATTCCTGGCAGCTAATGAGAGCGGCGTTCGACCGCTATTGTCTGGCCTGTTAGGGTTGGAGTCTTCCCGTCCCAGCAGTAACTCCACTACTCCCTCATGACCGTTCTTGGCAGCCAACGAGAGCGGGGTTTGGCCACGATTGTCTGGCCTATCGGGGCTGACATCCCCCCGCCCCAAAAGTAACTCGACTACTCCACTATGCCCATTCTCGGCAGCCAACGAGAGCGGCGCCCGGCCACGGCATGTTCCTGGCCTATCGGGGTTGACATCTACTCGCCCCAACAGGAGCTTCACTACTCCCTCACGCCCGTTCTTGGCAGCCAAAGAGAGCGGTGTTTGGTCCCATCTGTCTGGCCTATCGGGGTTGATATCTTCCGATCCCAACAGCAGCCTCACTACTCGGTCATGTCCATTCTCGGCAGCCCATGAGAGCGGTGTTTTGTCCCATTTGTCTGGTCTATCGGGGTTGATATCTTCCCGCCTCAACAGTAACTTCACTACCCCCTCACATCCATTCTTGGCGGCCCACGAGAGCGGTGTTTGGTCCCATCTATCTGGCCTACCAGGGCTGATATCTCCCCGTTCTAGCATTAGCTTCACCACCCCGCCGTGCTCATTCTGGGCAGCCAACGAGAAAGGTGTTTGGTCCCATTTGTCTGGCCGCCCGGGGTTGATATCTTCCTGTCCTAGGAGTAGATTCACAACTACATCGTTCCCATTCTCGGCAGCCCATGAAAACGGTGTTTTTTCCCATTTATCTGGCTGATCGGGGTTGATATCTTCCCGTCCCAACAGTAGCTTCACCACTCCATAATACCCATTCTCGGCAGCCAGCGAGAACGGCGTTCGGCCACAATTGTCTGGCTTGTCAGGGTTAACACCCTTCCATCCTAATAGCAGCTTCACCACTCTGTCATGCCCATTCTTGGCAGCCCACGAGAGCGGGGTTCGGCCCCATTTGTCCAGCCTATCGGGGGTAACATCTTCTCGTGCCAATAGCAGCTTCACTACTCCATCATGTCCATTCCTAGTAGCCCACGAGAGTGGGGTTCGGCCACCATCGTCTGGGGTATCAGGGTTGATGTATCTCCTTCCAAATAATAGACTCATTACTCGTGGTGCTTTGCCCCACCGACGGCCTATGCTCCCAGGATTGACAAATAGCCGACCAAGAAATAACCTGACCACTCCTTCATGCCCGTTCCCAGCAGCCCATGAGAGTGCTGTTCGACCATATCGCGTGTCCGGTATATCGGGTTGAGTATGCTTCTGCCGCAAGAGCAATTTTACTAGTTCTTCGTGCCCATACCTCGCAGCCCACATGAGCGGCGTCATCCCTGCACTGTCTCTTTGGTTCACATCCCATCTTCCCATCTTCATCAAATCAACTGCAACTTTAGCAACGCCGAAATACGAAATACAGTGCAGTGCAGTTAATGGCTTGAGAGAATATATGAACCTAATAGGAAATAACTGGTTGATTGACTCCCAAAGTATTTTGGCAGATACGTGGTTATCATATTGATCAAGGAGCCCGAGCGCAAGGTATACTGAGCGATCTGAATGCTCCATTCGCATGTGGGTTCCCCAATACAAAGAGGAGTATTTTAGGAATGCTGTGCCTTGGGGGAAGCTGAGGGGACCGGCCGAAAAATTCCTGACACTCTGAGAGTTGAGATAAGTCAAACAGGTTTCTGATATTTTGGCGTGAGCTCTGTCAAACAAGTCGGCACGTCCGGAAAGATATTCTTTGAGGGTGAAATGGATCAACCTAATAGTAGAGGACCCTTTATCGACGGCAACAAGTCCTTGACAACAGCCTAACACTGTCCAGATTGAAGGAACATTGTTGGTACTAATGTCCGGTGATCCTATCTCGACCGCTAGAGCGTGGCATATCTCATCCACATCCAACGGCCGCTCCGAATGTGAAACCCACATGAGAGCAGCCATCCCGAGTCTTGATCTATCCCCTTCCTGCGCCTTTATCCGTCCTATGGTTGCATCGTATGCACCCCCCAAGCCCAAATCATTTGCCATTGCACCGAGCTTTTCTCGCCTCCGATAGATTGTCGTTTCCTGCAGAATCGCCCTGATGTTTAAAGATACTAGTAGGAATCTAAGCATAGATCTATTAGTTAATACCTTTAGGTATTTTGCCAGTGTCCCCGCTTCCCACTCACATTTCCGAAGCCCTCTCGGGAATACTCTTTATAATGTCCTCCTCCAAACTTTTGTCGATCGCATCCGGTGTTGTATCCTCCTTCAGTTTCGCTCGGAGGAATCTGATGATATCACCCTTCGCGGGTGTTACCGATACAACCGCTACCTTCCTGGCAAGGTGTTTCTCAACCTCACCCCGGATATGCAATCTCCCAGCCAGAAACATCCGAGTGCCTGGTGACTTCTGTAGGATTTGTTTCAGTGAATCAAGCAATTTTGCTCGATACCCAGCTACGCATTCGTCGAGCGCATCAATACATATGAAAGTGCGCCGTGAGGACGAGATATCCTGTAACATCTCTATAATTTCGGCGAGTCCCAGTTTCCGGCCCCCGATGACTTTTTTCTGCTCTCGGAAAGCCCGGACAATCTCTGGTGGGATATTCTCTAGCCCACCGACAATCTGTTTTAACAGGGAACCCAGGATGCTCGCTGGGTATTGTTCCTTCTGCGCGGCAAAGTCGAAGTAGAAGCACGCGACTGCATAATTTCGTCCCCTCACCCAATCGCATAACGTATCTATTACCAGGGAGCTAATATCGCAGTTTCTTAGTAAGTCTTTTGCTTCATGAAAGGTGTGTTTTCTCACCTGATGTAGGTCTTGCCGACCCCCGGAGCTCCGTAGCAAAACAAGGCTGAATTATCGGATTCACCACCGGGAACACCATCAAACCAATTCCGATATTCCTCGGTTCGAAAGAGCCAGTCCCCTACATATTCGACTCGGTGGGTTCTGATATCATCGTGCCGTATCTGGGGCTCCAGTGGTGATAACCACGCAAGAATCTCAGACCTCTCATCGGCAACACCAAAGTTGGTCACGTTACACACAGTATTAAAAGAGTTGGTATTAAAAGAGTTGTTATTAAGGGAGTTTTTACCGAAAGAGCTGCCATCTTCCTCGGAATTAGATTCTAACATTTTCCCTCTTTTTCTTCTTCGCTGTTTGGAAGGTTGTAGATTGGATGCGGAGGATGGGTTTGTGAGTACGGTAGAGTCAATTGATAGAGTTCTTGGGGCCGGGGGAAAGCGGGGTCACCGCTAGCTTATGGTAGGAGC